GGACAATTAAATGCTGATATCTTGTACTCTGAGTAACTAATTTAAAGATAATATGCACTGTATTTACCATTGTTACCCTCCTATAGTCTTGTTTTGAAATTTTGCTTTTTTTCTCTTTAAAATTAAAAAAATAATGCTGAGATTCCATCTCACTCCAAAAAGAATGGCTGTTACCAAGGAATCAACCAATAACAAATGCTGGAGGGGCTGTGAGGAAAAAGGAACCCTTCTCCACTGTTGGTGGGAGGGCAGACTAGTACAACCACTGTGGAAATCAGTGTGGAGATTCCTCAAAAAACTAGGACCAAAAGTTCCATTTGACCTAGCTGTTCTCCTTTTTTGATATCTTCCCCCAAAGAATTAAATGCATCACACCACAGCAATATATATACACCCATGTTTAGAGTGGCACAATTTATAATAGCTAAATATTGGAAACACCCTAAATGTCCATCAACGGATGAACAGATAGAGAAGATCTGGTTTTTTATACAGTGGAGTACTACTCAGCCGTAAAGGATAAGCTTGAGGGGCTGGGGATTTATCTCAGCGGCACAGCGCCTGCCTGGCAAGTGCAAGGTCATGAGTTCGGTTCCCGGTACCGGAAAAAAACCAGAAAAAGAAAAGGATAAGCTTGAGACATTTCTAGGTAAATGGATGCGCCTTGAGACCATACTCTTTAAGTGAAATAAATTGGACACATATGTTTAAATACTGCGTTGTTTCTCTGGTGTGAGGAACTAAAAGTACAGATAAGGACAAAAATATGTAACAAATATTGGGAAATGGGAAGAAAATATTCAAATGGGAAGGGGAACAAGGGAGGGGGAGGAGGAAGGAAGGAAGGGACAAGAAAAAAAGAGAATAGAAGAAAAATCGAAACAAAATTTTTGCGAATAAGGCGGGGAAGAGGGGTTGAAGGAGGGAAGAGGCAGGGGAAAGGGAAGCAAGATAGACCAGGTGCAGGCACAGACTCCCCACGATGAATGTGATCCTTCTGTGTGCCTAAAATGTATGCATAAAAAATTTTTAAAGAGCTCTGTAGGAGCTGGGTATGGGGGCACATGCCTATAATCCCAGCACTTCGGGAGGCTGAACCAGGAAGATCCCAAGGAGGAGCCTCACCCGAACTACTAAGTGACTTAGCAAGGCCCTGTCTCAAAATTTTAAAAAGAAAACAATTTTAAAGGGCTGAGAATGTAGCTCCATGTGAAGGCATTGGGTGCAATCCCCAGGACCAAAAATTAATTAACTAATTAATTAATTAAAAAGCATGCTTAGCATTACAATGAATTACTCTATGCAACCGAGCACTCCCTTGGCCCTGAGCTTTCTCGTAGCAGCAACAAAAGCAAAGACCTGCAGGCAAGGATCTCCCTTCTGAGGGGAATAGGGCACGTGGTTCTGCTGTTAGGGAGGGACCTGACTCCGGCAGCGGTGTTTACAGAGACATTGTGCAAACACACTGAACACCAGAGCAGCTAACTCCAGTAACACAAACAAAAGCCTGAGTACCTGTGTCCCTTAGCTTAAAAAAAAAAAAAAAAAGCATCTTTCCTCCACCCAACAGCCAGTCTTGGTGGCAGCTTCGCACGGTGAGTGAAGGACTCCTGCCCTTCCTGCCAGACCAACGCAGGCAGCCCTGCTCACCGGCAGAGGAACGGATTTTACAGGCAAATTAGCAAATCAGCCAAATGGTATTTTGTTGTTGTTGTTGCTCTTCTTTTTTTTTTTTTTTTTTTTTTTGAGACAGGGTCTCCCTATGCAGTTCAGGCTGACCTTGAGCTCACTTTGTAGCCCAGGCTGGCCTGGAACTCGCAATGATCCTCCTGCCTCAGCCTCCCGAGTGCTGGGATTACAGGCGTGCGCCACCACGCCCAGCTCTTTGTTGTTGCTCTTCTTGTAAAGCTGTTTCAAAGGGAACTGTGCCTGCATGCACAGGTACACCAAGTAAAGACCATGGTTTTCTGATTGCCTACTATAACACAGCCAAATAACTTAGAGACGCTAGAAGGCTATATAAGTATAACTCAAAAATTCCCTCTCTCTCTCCCTCTCTCCCTCTCTCTCTCTCTTTCACTCTCTTGCTCTTCCTTTCCCTTCCCCCTACCTCTCTCTCTCTCACTCTCTCTCGCACTCTCTCTCTCTCTCCAGACAGCAGATGTCACTGGCAAGCTCCTGGCAAGAGCTGAATGGCAATCAATTCACAGTGACAAGTGACTAAAATGCCCATCTTCTGTGTTGTCGACTGGAAGAAAACACATATGGTTTGGTTCCCAGGCGGGCAGACAGCAGAGCTGAAAGTGTTGGGAAAATTTAGGAATCTGACTTGTATTCTTTCCAGAGACAAAGCCTCACTCTTCCGCAGAGATGCTACCGGGACCTAAATTTTCATCTCAGAAACCAGCTTTGGATCTATTCAGAAACTCAAAAAAAAAAAAAAAAGTGCTCCCTTAATCCCAGCGCTTTGGGAGGCTGCAGTATTTAATACCACTTTGAATTTAAATCTCACCTGGGGAAGGATCTTCTTCTTATCTTTTCCAATTCCTACATCAGCACCCAGATCCCCCCAGACTCGGTCTCCTTGCTTGACGAGCGGGGTGTTAGTACTGGCACAGAGGCTTGTTTTGAGGCTTCGCTGAGACCGTGTGTGGGAAGGGTCAATAAGTGAGGACTCTGAAACTTTTTTTTTTGAGACAGCATCTTCCTACTTCACCCAGCCTGGCCTCAAACTCCAGGGTTCAAGCCACCCTCCTGCCTCAGCCTCCCAAGCAGCTGGGATGATAGACACTGCACCATGGCACTTGACTCCTTATCATCATTTTCTTTCTGCTGGAGTTAAGGATACACAGTTGTACTTTGGAAAGAAACAATATGAGGGGGAAAATATACATTAGTTAGTTTGGTGCTGGGTGTCGGGAGTAGGGCCTGACACATGCTCTACCACTGAACTATACCCCTTCAGAAAGTATATATTCAATGTACAAAAGATAATGTATTAAACATATGTTGTCGTGGTTTCTACCTAGATGCCCCCTAAGGGCCGCATGTACCCATACATGGGACCCTTGGAAGGGGACTGACTGATGGGGACTTCTAGCTGACTTGCTCTTGGGAAGCAGGGTCTGGCCAGAAGAGGCCGTCCCTGGGGCATGGGCTGAAAGGGTTTCTCTCCCTCATGACCCCTTCCTTCTCTCCCTGTCTGTTCTTTCGGCCTGCTGTGAGCAGCTCCCCTATGCCAGGCCCTCTCTGACCTGGAGCCCGCAGACCATGGACTGAACCTCTATAGACTGTAACCCAAAGTAAAGCTTTCTTCCTCCTCTAAGTTACAGGTGCCCCGGACGGTGACCCAGCTCTGGGGAAACTGACTAAGACATATATTAGATATACTTTAATGACCATTTTTATCTTGGCCTACCATATGTACCTCAGAATGAAAGCAGTAAAGAATGGTGTTCTTAAATTGTCCATTTCTTTCAGAATGATTACCACAGGACCGCAGAGGCCCTTGGCCAGGCGGTTTTCATTTGGCTCAGGCACACATTTCCTTAGGAAAGCGGTCTTTCCCTCCAAACCAGGATTCCTGGGATCGAAAGTTAAAATGTTCTGCCGCAGGAAACAGACCAAACACGGAAGAATGGCACCGAGGAGGTTTAGGAGGAGTTTCCTACAGGGGTGGGCTTCTGACTAGGATCTCTCCCGAAGAGCCAGAGGCCTGCCCAGCGGGAGTTTCGGGCTTTTACAGGGAAAGTGAGTGGGGCGGTATAGAGGCAGATTGGCACATTATGACTGGAGGGTCGGGTGACATCTTGGGTTGCGAAGGGGGTTTAAGCATTTCAGGTTACATCATAAGGTCATCAGTTACACACAGCTTGGGTTACAGAGGAAGAAATGTCGTGTTACATTTTCAGTTGCATTGCAAGGCCATCAGTTATGCAGAGGCAGTAAAGACAGGGGCTTACCCCAGGGGAGAAGTGCTCTGCCACTGATCCGCTTGGTGTTGGCAGGCCTCGTGGGTCGGCTTTTATTTAAAATCCAACTGTCCCCTTGAGTTCCACTTCCGGCCCTGGTGCTCAAGCCCCTAAACCGAGGTGTCCAGCAAGAAAGGACACTTGTCCCAGAGAGCTGAGGCTTCGCTGCACAGCAGTGACAGCCGTTCCATGTGGAAGCAGGACAAGTTGGGCTGGCCGGACACAGGGACGGAAGGAAAGAAAGCAGCTGGTGCAGGTCAGGCAGGGTCCCAGCCACATCTGCCACTGCCACACCCACCCCACCAGGAAGGTAAACAAAGACATCCCTGAAACTCGAGCCCGCGGTGTTGCCTGATTTGGTTTGTTTTTCTCAAACTGTCCCTGTGGACCTAGATATGAAGGCCCCGGGGGAAGTGTAGGAGGTCGAGTCCTCACGTCGGCTTCCTTCGCATCTCCTTGCAGGAGCTGGAAGAGCAGCAGCAGGAAATGAGATCCCGGGCAGCTGGGGACGGGAAACGGCGTCCTATGACCGGGAGCCTGCGGGGAAGCGGCTGCAGCTACACAGCCCGGAGGCCCCAGGTCGCCACGGGAGGAAGAGAGGAGGGCGGACCAGGACACAGCCCGAGCAGGCAGCTGGAGGTGCACGGGGCACAGCTACGCGAGCTACTTCTTTTTTAACTTTTATTTTGTATTAGTCCGTGTTGATCACATTCCGTGGAGAGCCAGTCCCCTGCGCACCTTAGATCTTTCTTTACCTCTCCCCGCTCTCCCCTTCCGCCAGCTCTAGGACCCCTTCTTCCCTTTTGCAAGAGATCTAGCCCCCTGCTTCTGTTATCTTTTATTTTGCTCTCTATCTATTGGGTTTCTCCTATAAGAGAAATGATGTGACTTTTAAGCTCATGTGTCTGATTTCTTCCACTTAAATTATGGTCTCAAGGAGCATCTATTTCCTACAAATGACTCAAGTTCATCCTTCTTTATGGCAGAGTAGTACTCCACTGTGTGTAAACACCACATTTTCTTCACCCATTCACCTGCTGAAGGACATGTGGGCTATTTCCAAGCCTGAGCTCTTACAGCTGTGCTGCTGCACACGTGGGTGTGTGTGGATCACTGTCATCGATGTCCTTCAGGAAGAGACCTAGAAGGGGAATAGTTGGGTCAAATGGAATTTCTGGTTTTACTTTTTTGAGGAACTCCCTACTGATTCCAGGGTAATTGGACTAGTGTGCGTTCTGAGAAGGAATTACTTTATGGGACCCAGTAGCTAGAGGCAGCGAGCGATCAAAGAAATTCCAGAAATCATGCAGAAGTCCTAATTAGGAGCACTCAACAGAAAAGGGGTGAGAAAACTTGGAAGCTTAGATTGGGATCGCATGGCCTTCGGTACGAAGGCTACGAAGCTGTTTTCTACGAGGGGTTGGCAAAGGTCGTTCTACAGTAGAGAGAAAAGGTAGGTTTTGAAGACACCTTCGACTGAGTTCCAGGTACACCGGCGCCTTCGTGCAATTAAAACACAGCAGGAGGCGGCGTCCCTGGGTTTGTGGGTGCCAGCGCGGTCCTCAGGTGGGTTGGTTTGCTTTTGGGTTGGGAGGGCTGGTTTGGTTTTTTTTTATTTATTTTAGCGCAGCTGTTTTGGTTTTTGAGTTGGTTGCGGGGTCTTGTTTTGGTTTGGCTTGGTTTAGTTTTTTGAGACAGGATCTCGTAGGTAGTTTTTTGGTTTGGGGTTTTTTTTTTTGTCTTTTTGAGACAGGGTCTCACTATGCAGTTCCAGCTGCCTTCAGCTCACTTTGTAGCCCAGGCTGGTCTTAAATTCCAACGATCCTCCTGCCTCAGCCTCCTGAGTGCTGGGATTATAGGCCTGTGCCACCACACCTGGCTTCTTATATGTAGTTGAGGCTGGCCTTGAACTCCCTATGTAGTCCAGATTGGCCTCAAACTCCTGGCAATCCTCCTGCCTCAGCCTCCCAAATCCTTGGATTATACGTGTGCACCAGCATACCTGGCTTTGTAATCAGATTTTGATCATCAAAACATATCCCCCAGTTCTGCCTTTTGTGATGCAGATCAGAATGGTGACAGCTGATGATCCCACTAGGGGACAGTGTGCAGAACAGCTGAAGGCAGGGGTTGGAAGTTGGGCGTGTCAGGCGTGCCCAGCCCTCGCAGGCCAAAAACAGGGTTTTTATGTTACTTTGTGTGCAGTAAAAACCACTGAAGGTTCTTTTTTTTCTTTCTTTCTTTGTCTTTTTGAGACAGGGTCTCACTATGCAGTGCAGGCTGGCCTTGAGCTCACTTTGTAGCCCAGGCGGGTCTCGAACTTGCAAGGATCCTCCTGCCTCAGCCTCTCAAGGGCTGGGATTACAAGGGTGCCCCACCATGCCAGGCATACCACTGAAGGCTTTTAAAACTAAGCACTCCTTGAGGGGTGGGTGGTGGGCTTCTGGCATGCCTAAGGCCCTGGGTCCCACCCCCAGTACCAAGAAAGAAAGAAAGGAACAAAGAAAGACAGAACTCCTCAGTTATTTTCTCCCATAATCCTGTGCTGTAGCTCGTCCCTCCCTCCTTCCACCGGTAAATATGCTATGAGAGTCACACCCGTGCCGGCACTGTTCCAAGTCTGGGAATAAACAGTCATCAGAACTGGAGCCCGAAGGCGCCTGTCCACTGCCGAGGTGTCCCTGGACAGGGGGTGACTTCGAAAGGCTTACGTTTCGGGGTGCTGAAAGAGAATAACTGGGGGAACCCAGGGCATCCGGAAAGGAGGCTGCAATCCAGGAAGATGGAGCGGGCCGGACTCCCGCGAGGTGATCAGGAAAGTGTCTGTGCGGAGGGGCGGGCTGAGCCGGGGAGAGCAGGAAGCAGCGTCTATGAACCCAGCCGCCCGCAGGAAATTCCGGCCACAGGCGAAGGAGCAGCGCAGCTGTTGGTAGAAGGGAGAAGTCGGTGTGGCCGTGAGCAAGGGGAGCAGCGCAGGGTGGAGTTGGAAACGGAAATTCTGGTCCCATGGGACCCCGAGGCTGACCAGCTGGAGGTTGTGGGGCCTGTGGACATCAATTCAGAGACGCCCCGGGCAGGTGCTCGGGTGGATGACCGCATACACACTGACTTCACCAGTCTGCATGAAAACAGTCACCCAAGCCGGGCGTGGTGGCGCACGCCTCTAATCCCAGCACTCAGGAGGCTGAGGCAGGAGTTCCAGGCCAGCCTGGGCTACCCAGTGAGCTCAAGGCCAGCCTGAACTACATAGCGTGACCCTGTCTCAAAAAAGACCCTACAAAGTATAAAGGAATTAGAGCTCTTCCAAGCGGGTTTTGAAGCTACTCTTTGGAGAATAAAATCTTAGTGTGACGGTCTCCCGAAAAACGAAGAGTGGCGTCCGACACGGAGCTGCGTGTGTGCGGTCCACGTGTCACTTTCTGTGACGCCGCAAGGGAGAGCACAGCGACAGCGGGACTTGATCTGACTTCTGCCCCGGCCTTTTATGTCCTTCCTTCCCTGGGCCGGTTCCGGAAACTGGGCCCCTTGGAATCGTGCAGAAGGCGCTCGGTGTTGCCACCCAGGCATTTGGGGCTCTGCAGAGGGAGCCGAGCTTTGTACCCGCTCTGGGCAGCCGCTCGCCGGGCTGGGAAGGTCACGGGTCCCACAAAGACAAATTCAGGCCGAAGTAAGCCGACTCCAAGTTGGTTTGGGCTACAGCAGGCTGAGCACCCACCAATTATTTACATGCATCGACGAGTTACTCTGGTGGTGATGAGACTGAGCGCACTGTACCAAACCCAGCTCATCCCCAGTGTATTCTAGCAGGACAGCACCCAGAGGCCGCAGCGGGCCCCCAGCCTCCCTCAGCTTTTTCTCATAGGCAAAAGACTGACTTAGTCTCCCAAAGGCTGCTGTCAGCAGTATTCGTTTCGACCACAAGGTGGCGCCCGCAAGCCTCGCCGGCACTGCCCAGTTTGAGCCTTCGCGAGCCAGGCTGCGGTGCTGTTATCTGAAAGAAACCCACCGCCCGCCAGCCTGCTCGCAAGCCGGGCACGGAGGCCCCGACAGGGTGAGGGACCCAGCCCAAGCCGCACTGTAGTTCGGAGGCGTAGGGATCAAAGTCCACCGTCCCTCACGAGCAAATTCAAATCCAAACAGCTACGGTTTTCAAACCAAAACCAAAACAAAGACCACCGGGTCACGCCTTTAATCCCAGCACTCTGGGAGGCTGACGCAGGAAGATCGAAGCGAGCTCGAGGCCAGACTGGCTGCACGGTGAGCTCAAGGATAGGCTGCACTGCATAATAAATAAGAACCGGTCGCACTAAAAGAAAAAAAAAAAAAAAAAACTTAAAGCCTAGTAACTGTATGGGCCGGGGATATAGCTCAGTGGCATAAGCGCCTGACTGGCAAGCGTAAAGTCCTGAGTTCGATTCCCGGTCCCAAAAAAAAAAAAAAAGAATTGCATCTAATAGCTGTATGAGGGTTAATATTATTAGCAATAGAATTGTAATAGAATTATAGCAAGGGCTTTCAGAAATATAGTGAAAATTAAAATAACCTTTGATAGGTTTGAGACAGCCTCACTGGGTAATCTCAGCTGGGCTCACATTGGTGATTCTCCTGTCTCGGCCCTTAAGTGCCAGTATTTTAGGCATATGCCACCATCCCCAGCTAAAATAACTTTTAAACAATCCATTTCTTAGACTATCAAGATTAAGAAAGGGAAAGGTCAATGCTGTAAAATGCTTGTAGTGGGGACCAAATACGGTGGTTTATTTTCTCCAGAGCACCATTAGGCATCGTGAGGGTAGCTTATTTTGGTTTGATTTGGTTTGGTTTTTTGAGACAGGGTCTCACTGTGTAGCTCAGGCTGGCCTTGAACTCACTGTGTAGCCCAGGCTCGCCTGGAGCTCAGGGCAATCCTCCTGCTTCAGCCTCCAGAGTGCTGGGATGACAGGCGTGCGCCCCTGCGCCCAGCACAATCGGGAGCACTTCCCTGGGGACGTCCTCAGTGTCAGAGCGGAGTTCGGCCTCTGTCCACGCCTGCTTTCCCTGGGGATTCCTGTCTCCGGGCAGTGGCGGTGAGTCGGCTGCAGTTTCTCAGGTCTCCTCGGTATGGGGGTGACCAGATGTTCCGAGCATCAAGCCGTTGCAGGAAGCTCCCCACCCTGGCCCAGCGTCCTGCTGGTCCTCGGCAGACTTCCCTTTCCCTTTCCTTTTTCCCCTCTTTCTAATTTTTTTCTTCAAAGGCCGCTGCCAAAGCCATCTTCCTCTATTGTTGTCGATGACATCATCCCTGCTTGCGTTTCCCCAGCCTGGCCGCCTCCGCCCCTCAGTTCTCGCTGCTTTGCACAGGTTGTGACAGAGTCATCCTTTCTGGTGTCCTGGTGGCGAGGCGCCTGCCTGTTGGCGCGCAGCTCTCAGCCCGCTGTTCCCACATGTGTGCTCAATGCTAAAGAATAAATGCAGCGCCTTCGGCATCCGCGCCATTATTTTAGGTGCTGTAAAAGGAAGCGTAAGAGAAGTAAGGAAAGGTCTGGTGTGGTCCTAGCTACTCAGGAGGCTGAGGCAGGAGGATCAGAAGTTCAAATCAAGCCTGGGTAACTTAGCAACATCCTGTCTCAAAATATTAAAAAAAAAAAAAAAAAAAAGCTGAAGACCAGCTGGAATCAACTCTCCTCTAGACACTATCCGTCAGCTTTCCGGGGCTGAGACACAACACCAGACACCCACAACTTAAAGGAGGAGAGGGTTAATGTAGCTCGCACTGTCAGTCCCAGTCAGCTGGCTCCACTGCAGAGACCTCACGGCCAAAGGGCGTGGCAGGGCGCAGCCGCGGAGTCCGCGGTGGCTGGGAACGGGGACAGCGTCCGCAAGGTACAGGCCAGGGACCAGAACCGGTCCCCAAGCCCACAGCTCCGCCAGCACCTGCACACACCTGGGAGCTCAGTGTGCTCATCTGCGGGGTGCCTCTTAACCCAGTGAAGGTGACGAATCCAGGTTAATAATGTCATAAAGACCGAGGGGTGGCATAAGGGGGGGGGGCAGGTATACAATGATCCCCAACGTGTACCATCAGGGTGGAGATCTGCCACCATCCCAGGTACCCTTCCATGCTATTAAGGTTATAACTTCAAGCTGGACACGGGGTCAGGTGCCTGTAATCCCAGAACTCAGGAGGCTGAGGCAGGAGGATTGCCATGAGTTTGAGGCCAGCCTGGGCTGCATAGGTCACACTGAACTGCATATTGAGACCCTGTGTCAAAACAACAACAAAAAAAGTGTGTATTCATCTCAGATGCCCATTTTTGGATTAAGTCTTTAAATTTGGGGAGGAGGGGTCTGGTTTTTTTCCAATTCTATATATATATAATATAAATCAATTATAATATATATATATAGTTCTAGATAGTAGTCCTTTGTTGGAGAAGCAGCTGGCAAAACTTTTCCCCCATTCTGTGGGTTGTCTCCTCACTCTGTTGGTGGTTTCTTTTGCTGTGCAAAAGCTCTTTAATCAGATGAGATCCCAGCTGTTGATTCTTCGTGACAGCTCCTGTGCAGTCAGAGTTTTGTTCACAAAGTCTTTGCCTGCACCAATTTCTTCAGGAGTTCTACCTGTTCTACCTTTCAGTACATTTAGTGTCTCTGTTTTAATATTTAGAGCTTTGTCCATTTTGATTCTAGTTTAGTGCATGGTGATAGACACAGGTCTAGTTTTAGTCTTCGGCACGTGGCGAGCCAGTTTTTCCAGCACCCTGTATTAAAGAGGCTACCTTTCCTCCAGTGACTACACATTTCTCAGCTGAAGAAGTACAAAGAGCAAATAAATATATGAAAAATGTTCAGTATCACTGGATTTGAAATTAAAACAATGCTGAGATCCCACCTCACTCCAGAAAGAATGCCTATCATCAATAAATCAACCAATAATAAAAGCCAGTGGGGCTGTGGGGAAAGAGGAACCCTTCTCCACAGTTGGTGGACATGTAGACTGGTGCAACCACTGTGGAAATCAATGCGGAGATTACTAAAAAACTAGGACTAGAGGTCCCATTTGACCCAGCTACTCCCCTTCTTGGTATCTTTCCAAAGAATGAAAAGCACCATACCACAAGGATATATGCACACCCATGTTTATAACAGCACAGTTTGTAAGAGCTAAATCTTAGAAACAGCCCAGATGCCCATCAACCAATGAATGGATAAAAAAATATTTTTTTTCTACAGTGGAGTACTACTCTGCCATAAAGAAGGACAATCTTGAACTGTTTATAGCTAAATGGAGGGACATTGAGACCATACCCTTTTTTGTCCCAATCCAATTTTATCGGCACACTCTAGGTATATATAATGATCACATTAATCGTAGAGAATTTGCCCCTGTCCATGATATAACTTGTTTCTTTTTTTCCCATTCCTCTACCCTCCCATCAACCCCTCTCCCCCTCCCCATTTACAAAAGCTTTGTTTCCATTTTTTTCTTTCTTTTCTCTCTCTCTTTTTTTTTTTTTTGCTGTTCCCTTCTTTCCTTTTCCCCGTCACCTGCCTTGTTCCCCGCAAGGAACATGTTCTTCCCATTTCACAATACCTACTATGCACTCTGTCCTTATTTACACTTTTGGTTTCTCGCCCAAGAGACCATACTCTTAAAGGAAATGAATCAGACAATTGTGAAAACATCACACTGTCTCTCTGGTGTCAGAAGCTGAAAGTGTAAATAAGAACCAAAATGTGTAATATTGTGAAATAGGAAGTAATTTTGTTCAAAAGGAAAGGGGAATTTGGGCAGGAGAAGGGGGAAAGGGGTTGAAGGGGATGGGATTTGAGCTTTTTTTTTTTTTTGGTACCAGGAATCAAACTCACAACCTTGTGCTTGCCAGGCAGGTGCTGTGCCGCTGAGCTAAATCCCCAGCCCCGAGGTTAGGAAAAAGAGGGACCCAGATATATTATGCACAAGCACAAATTCTCGATGCTGCACATGCTCAATCTGTATATTTAAATTGTACCAATAAACAATAAAAATTACACCTTCCATTAAAAAGGGTTTGGGTCTCACACTGGTGTTAAGGCTATAGCTCTCACCCCAAATCACAAAATTTTTCTCATTTCCACAGCATGACATGACCCTATTCAAAAAAGAACGTATTATTATTTTTTTAGTGAGCTTAAGACAATTCAATAAATTGAAAATATGAGCTTTTGGAAATATAAACAGGAGAATATGCTATAGAAACAGGAGATATTGGGCAGTTTTGTCCGTCTTTACTACGAGGAAAGCTGCCAAGCTGCAGGTACATGATTTAGTCAACCCAACCACCCTAACACCAGGCCCAAGAGCAGAGGGAGGCATCGTTACCATGCTCTCCGGGAATGGATGTGGTATTTGCACTGACATAAAATTTTGAGCTTTTAACATGGGATAAATATTTCCCAAATAATCACGTTTCAAAAGAAACCACTTCTTAACATCAGACCTTCCTAATAATTTTTACTTAGGAGTTTAAAATTTATTCTAATGAGGTATAGTACCTTTGGCAAACATACTGAGTTTAAAGTCCTGTGTCCCAGAAAATAAATAAAGAAAATAAAGTCTTGTGTCCCCTCCACCCCCACCCCATTTAACTTGGTCCTTGCGCATGCGCACTAAGCCGTCTAGCGGCTCTACTCCCCAGGCAGAAGTTTAAAAGCTCCTTGGTCAATAGATTTGACACCTGGCAACTGGCACTGTTTTGTATCTGTCGCTCTTGTTTCTTCACCTGTAAAACGGAGGTGGGGACAGCTGGAGGATTACTGTAAGGATCAAATGTGACAATGTATTAAAATGATTTGGGGGAAAAAAAGGAAAAAGAAAAAAATAAATAAATAAAAATAAAAATAAAATGATTTGAAGCCTGGCTTGGGTAACTTAGTGACTTAGTAAGATATTGTCTCAAGATATAAGACACAGATTAATTAATTAATTAAGCTTTTAAAAGGGCTGGGAATTTGCTCAGTGTAAGTCCCTGGCTTTAATCCCCAGGACCACAAAAAGAAACAAGGAAATTGTGAAGTGTAAGGTGTTAATTATTATTATATTTATGCCACTGATGTTTAGATCCTTTTTTTTTTTTTTTTTTTTTTGGTACCGGGACTTGAACTCAGGGCCTTGCACTTGCCAGGCAGGCACTTGTGCCACTGAGCTACATCCCAGGGCCTGCCACTGACTTTAGAGATGCTGTGAAACAAGCTACATTTTATTGATTCAGTCAACTGAAAATTCATGACGTGTTTTGTCGTTCATGGAAAATGTTTCAAAATGAAAGGTTCATAAGGCTATAGTAAGTTATAATGAGGTATAATTAACAAGTATTAAAGAAATAAAAATACTTGACTTCTATTATAACTTCTCCAAAGATTTCATTTTAAATCAAGTTAACAGCTGTGTACAAAAAAAAAAAAAAAATCTGCAGTAAAACTTTGTATCGCACATTAAAAATACAGCTTTGCACCCAAGCCTGACGGCATGCCCGTCCTGAGGCAAGGAGGATCCCTGCGATTTCGAGGCCAGCCAATGTGGTGGGGCCACTGGATGACCAGACACCTGTCAAATGCTGTTTGTTATTCCGGATAGGTCCACCTGGATAAGATTAGCAGTGGAGGCAGCACACTGAACAAAGCAGGTTGCCCTCAGTGGGGTGGGGATGGGTGTGTCTTCCAGTCCCCTGAAGGCCCAAACGGAACAAGAAGGCTGACTTTCTTGGAGTAGGAAAGTGCTTCTTCGGCCCTGTGAGACTCCTGGCTTGAGTCGTGAGCTCAAGCGC